AACATATCTTTTGATAAAACTTATCTTTTACGAAAAGAATTATTTGGGTGTACTATAAATATGCTCATATATTCATTTAAATTTGAGGCACACAAAGTGCAGTGGTCATGCTTAATGGTTTCATCCTTCACCACGAGGCTAAGTTAGTCCTCTTGGTCAAAGGTCCAGTCAGGGTTTGGTTTCAGTTCTTCTAGTCAGTCTAGACAGATCTCGGGTGTCCAACATATTAGTTTTATCTCTTTATTCATTTATATGTATTTAGAGTTATTCTTTTAGATCTAGTAAAGGGAAAAAGGGTTTTGAATGTTTTGTATATTGGGGTGTGAGAGTTCGTGAGGATTCTCATTATTGTAATTGAAATATTTCTAAGTGTGAGCTTCTAGGGTGAGGTCGAGTTAGTAGTGCTCCGGGAGTACTACTGGGGACTTGAATCTGGGATTCAAGTCGAGTGAAGAACATTCACGTTCTTGGCGAGTTCCGGGTAGGAACTAGTTAGCAAGTTCAGTCAGGAACTTGTGAGAAAGGCCTGGTTGTAATAGGTTGTAACTAGGAGTGTTTGGCCTATTATATTCGATTGGTTTGGTTTGAAATCCCTTGGAGGGTCGAGGTTTTACTTCCAGTAAGGCCCTGGATGGTTTCCTCGTAAAATCCTCTTTGCATTGTCTAAGTTCCTAAAAGCAATCTGTTTTATATTCCGAAAAAATTAATAACTAGGAACATGCTACAATTCACCCCTCTTGTAGTATATCATCTAAATAAAAATAACGCTTTGACTTTATTATTAGTGACATTCTAGGATTTGTTATTAATTCGTTTAGAAATATGCCTAGGATCTTGCTATTAACGATGTTTTGATGATATTATTATGATGATGATTGTAGTGTCAATTAATCATATGTTGCTTGATTATTCATGGTTTATTGCTATTGCTTGGTCATGCCCCTTTTGTAATTTGTACTTGAAATCACGCCTAATAAGATAATTAATAATTTGATTTAGGCTGATATGATTTTAATTTAAGTGATCACCAATAATAGATTTAATGGTGCATTAATCATCAACCAACGTAGATTAAATATGCTTAGGATTAATTTGATATATGTATGTTGATTGGAAAGCGCACATGAATATCATAAGAATTAAATCGAGGTCTATTTACGGCAGGTTCTATCTCTTTTAGGTTGGATTCGTACCATCATCCCCGAATATCTAGTCATGGTTCCGGACCACTACGGAGTTAGTGATCTCCGTGATCGTAAATGGGATGTAACCTTCATACCCGTGAACTGTTTACAAGTTCCTATAACTTGTTGGCGACTCTTTTATCTGTAGCTTCTTTTCCTTGGAACGTCGCCATGCCTAAAAGCATGAACACAGTGGGGCTCAATGATGAGTTTGAAAAATTCCGTACACTTCTCTTGATTCTTTCCTAAAGGACAAGCCTTGGAAACCTGCAAAAAGGCATCATGGAAGAAAAGTAGAAGAAATAAAACCGCACAAGGAAAAGCAAAGGAAACTCTACATAAAAGGGGCATTTATTCAAGCAAACGAAGATACGAGACTTAAGAGTAAAACTTAGCTAAAACATGCCAAAAACGATTAAAAAGAGATTAAAACTAAAGGAAAACCTACCCTAAGGGTGTCATAAAATTACACTCATCAGCCAGCTATGATGGTGGTGGCGATAGCTTACCATCGTGCCATGGGTGGTGCGTATGGTGTGAAAGGGGAGGGGAAAAATAAAGAAAAAGAAATAGGAGGAGAGAGAGAGAGAGAGAAAGTGAGTGGGTTTACTTCTAAGGTATTATCACCTTGGGTAAAATCTGATTTTTGCTTTTGGGTGTGTATTTATACTTTTCTCTAAAACCCTCTTCCTACTTTATTTTCCCTATTTACCCTTAATGAATCATACTCCCACTCAAAGTAGGTGTTGACTCTATTTTTAAATCCTTTGACTCTAAGATTCTTTATAAATTAAATCTGCCCCAAAGTTTGTTAATATAGAAATAAATTATTTTAATAAATTAATAGATGGGTTTTATTTAAATAAACCTTTGAAAATATTACAATACCATAAATAATAGATTTCAAATAATGCAAATACATTTATAAAATAATACTTTAATTTATAAACTGTATAAAAATACGGGTTATTACAAATTAAATTAGTGAAAGTTTTAAAATTACCTTGTTTTTTGAATGCTGGTTTTTTGATTGAGTGTTATCACCTTCAAGTTCTTCTCTAATATCCATGTTTACGCATGAATGAAGTTTCTGATCTTTAGGATTTTTGAGAATGGTTATGGGGGTTTTGAGTGAAAATAGAGAGTATTGTGGTTTTGAAAATGAAAAAAATGGTATTATTGTTTTGAAAATAAAAAAACTAGTATTTTCGCTTTTAAACCTGTATTTATATCTGACACATGACGTTACTCGCTTCTATTAATTGTAAAAGCCTTAAAACGTTGTTGTTTGACAGGGGGACCACAATTTAATAGCTAGTCTTGAGTAGGGATGGAAATAGATCGGATTTGGATTGGATTATGCAAAATCCGACTCCAACCCTACAATATATCGGATTTTTAATCTGCCTCCACCTTCGACTCCAATATTCAACTCCAAGAATCCGACTTAAATGTCCAACCTCCGAATTCGTTCCAATCCGACTCCAACTTTGACTTTAAATTTAATTTTGACCCAATTATCAATAACAACCTATATATAATCAACTTCAAAGACGTATAACTTCATGAATCGAATAAAAAAATATATATAAGTTCATAGAAAAGTCGTAGTTTGATCGGATAAGTCGGATTCTAAGTATACTCTGACTCCGACCCTCCTCCGACTCGGAGTCGGATTTTTTAAACAAAGTCGGATTCAGATGATTATTTCTCGGATTCGCTTCGTGTAGACACATAAAAATATCTCCCTAAAGCCAAACCCGATGATGAACAACCTTTCGCCGTCATTATTAGTCGGGTCAAGTATTTAATCTTGGGAGTGCTTAAAACCCACATTCAGTCAAACATAGACTGCAAATCAGTCAACAGATCAGTCCAAATGTTTATTCAAACTTAGTCCAATTCATATTTCAGCCCAAACCCTTTTTAATTCATTTCGTGTTATTTATTAATTAAGACCGATTAATAAATAAAAAACCCTAAGCCTGAAATAAGTCCGTAACTTCTGAAACGGTGGGCTAATGAATCACGTGCTTAATGCAAATTTAAAGATTAAAATGAAACTAGACAATTTTTCTTGAAAACCAAAATGCCGCGACACGGCAATTTCTGCCGCGCCACGGCAACATTTGCCGCGTCACGGCGAATTCTGTCTTGACACGACAAATTTTAGGTTTAATTTCTTTGCGGTGCTTCAATTCTAGGGTTTCGTGCTTCACCACTCATATTTTCTCTATAAATACGAGGCTGATTTCTTAGTTTCGAGGCACCAACACACATTCTAATTCTTCTCGCTCTTATTCTAAGCGTTAAACCTATTCTCCTAATTACACCATTCCTTTCCTAAGTACTCCAAGGAGTCCATACAACACCCGAAGTTCTGTACTTAAACCAAGGCGTGAAAGGTAGAACCGATTGATCGAGGGTTTGGACCAAATCAATTCTACTTTTATTTAATTTAATTTCAATTTGATTTTATTATGCTTTGAAGTTACCAACAATTTGTTCATGATGTAGCAATTTAAAGAAGTGTGCGGAACGTAAGTAATTAATTAATTTAATTACTTATTTTTATTCTAATTGCTAGTATCATGATTAGGGTTATTATGTTTTGATTTGAGTGACAATATTATGGTTAAATTGCGTGCTTCCAAAGTTGATGTTGGTTTTATTATATTTATGATCACCATATTGCATGTTTAAAGGGAATATGTAATTGAATATAACGCCTAATAAGATAATTTGGACAACCGGTTTAGGTTCGTTTTTAATCTTTTTGTTTAATTAAGTGATCACTAATATTTTAGAATTATATGTTGCATTAACATTCAACCAATTTAGCCAAATATAGATTGGAGCAAATTGAATCTTTGTTTGTATGCCTTTGAGATCGCAAGAATTACTTTTCACAAAAAGAATCAAGTAGAGGTCAATACGACAAATGTGACTTCATGACTCACTTCGTACCATCATCCCCAATCCTCCTTTTGTGGTTCCGAACCATATGGAGTTAGTAATCTCATAGATTATGAATGGGGTGTAACCTTCACGGGTCAATCGTTGTTGCCTTTCGTTGTCCCTTAATCGTGGTTGCCTTTTATGATCCGTGAACGGTTTACAAGTTCCTTAAAAACTTGTTGGCTGCTCCCTACTTTCTTTGTCCCTAATCGTATGTCAATTCCCACTTCCAATGAGTGCCAAGCATATTCACAACATACTTAATGTAGGCGCGCTTCAAATGACGCCTACAATTCAGATTTTTTTTTTCTTCAGATCGGATCGGACTAAGGGCGGATTTGGACTAGATTGCCATCCCTAGTCTCGAGAGTAGCTATTACTAATTCCCAAAATCTATTACGAGGCATAATGGGTATTTTAGGGGGACACCATCACCTCTCCCTTTACTTATTTACTACTACTACTACTACTACTACTACTACTACTACTACTACTACTACTACTACTACTACTACTACTACTACTACTACTACTAATAATAATAATAATAATAATAATAATAATCCAATCAAAACTTCTTATACATAGCTAACAACATGGTGTGACAAATTATATGGGGTTTACTTCGTTAGTGTTATAAGGGTTACTTAATCACTGTTACAAGGGTTACTTCGTTAGTGTTATTGGGGTTACGCGGTCAGTGTTATAAGTAGTGTTACTTTTACAGCATTACAGAGGTTACTCTTACAATATTACAGGGGTTACTCGGTCAGTGTTATAAAGGTTAGTTTGTTCTTTTATAAGCGGCCTCATATTGTTGGCAGCAACACACAAAACGTGCGACCAATCATAGTAACGTAACGAAATAAAAATATAATTACATACATTATCACAAGTATAATTTGGTATTAGTTATTTACGAAATACACTCACCCTTTTTAATCTTGGAAAGCATAAGAATGCTTTAATCTTGGTTCTTCGAAAAAAGAAAAAATAAAACATAAGCACACTTCTACATACATAAATTCACTACATAATCCATTGGAGTATAACTTACAATACCTATTATGCAATTAAATACGATAAAAATTTATTGATACATTTAGACGTACACCCATTCAAAATAAATGGAAATACCAGAGACTTGTTAAGAGATCAGCTCCTCCACAAAGTTGGATCATTGATCACATGCCTTCCAAAGATGGACAACATGCACCACATAAAACATAGCACATGTTAGGGAACGAAAAGTAAGAAGAAAAAAAAGTAGTGCTTTCATTATTGTATATCCTCTATATCATATCATATTACTAATAAATAAAGTCGCTCTTACAGTCAGGTCACGAGACAACGGCACTTGGTATTTTAATCACTAATAAATAAAGCCGGTCACGCAGTCAGGCCACGAGAGAGCGACACTTGGCATTCTAGTGTTTTGCCAAGTGTCACACCACGTAGGCGACAAATAGATATTATTATGATACATATGATGCTAAGTAAGCGAAGTTTGGATAGTTTTTTAAAGATAAAAAAGTTGTATTGGGTTTTATTATCGATATACTTCTAATAATTCATATATACAAAATTAATCATAACTTTTAATATATATCTTATACTTCGGTACTATTTCCATCATAAAATTTGTTTTAAAAAGTTCATTAATATAAGATCCATTAATAATATATTTAATTTATTTAAAAAAATAATATAGAATTAGTGAAAATAAATTTTAATCATGAAAAATAATTTTTGTTTTGATAAAAATACTTTTAGTTCAGTAAAAATAATTTATGTCAATAAAATATATTTCAAATCAGTATGTCTAAATATCCTACATCATCAAAAGGGATTATATGATCGTATTTAACAATCAATCCAAAATCTTTATTCTAAATTTTTATCAAGCATCTGGGCATCACCCGGACACAAAAATAGTACCTATAATAAATTAGAGTTTTTTTTGAATGAATATTTCCTCCTAAACTCTATCTTTTATTTATTATTTTTTTTTTTTAATTTTTTTTTTCTAAATCATTCATTTACCTCAGATATTCATTACTTATCTATTCATTAATAAGAAAAAGTTGTAAAAAAAATCTCAATTTTTCCCTGTTCGCTCAAAATAATTTTAATGAAAAAAAACTTTGACTTTTAAGAAAAATATTAACTAGTAAAATTAATTTCAATTCAGCAAAAATAAGCTAAAAAGAACAAGACCTTATATTTAAATTTTCTTGAACAAAGTTAAGTAAGGCATAAATACATACCTTATTAGCTATTTTCTCACTAAACCTTCTTAGATATCATCTTCTACGAGTTCCATCTCTACATAAAATATTAAAGAGTTGAACAATTAGTAAACTTTTTTTCGAAAAACAAAGAGAAGATATATAATCCACATTAAGGTAATGAAATATGTAATCCTTATAGTTGCAGTAGATTTTTTTTTTTTGACAAAATTGGCCACAACACCCTAAAATATAGCTTGGGTGCACCATGTACCCTGAACCCTGTCTAGTAGCAGACGCACCATCAACTATTGACAAAGGTGCAACGTGTGCCATTTATTAGTAGAGATGACTTAGTTTGAGTGCCAAAAAAAGCGATTAATAGCATGCATTGCACATCAATTAATAGCTGGTGTGTGCCTCTATTCAAAGATTGGGGTGCTTGGCGCACCTAAGCTATGTTTCAAGGTGTTGAGGCTAATTTTGCCTAATAAAATCAATATGTATAATGATGGTTTTCTTTTATTTCGCTTATTACGTCTACTTGTACTTCCTTTATGGAGCGCTCAAGCTTTTAATATCAATATCTATAAGTAAAACACTCGTTTTAAAAACCCTAGATCTCCCATATTTAAGAATCATAATGAAATAACATTGATTTAATTTTATATATTTAGATTAATACCTTGTAGTAAATTACGCTTAGTTGCTCTTTTCCTCCTTGCGGGAACACCAATACCCTTTTTCCTTCGCTCATCTTGCCAATTCTTGATTTTCAATCCCTTGCATTTTCTCTTTAGGGTGGATTTTGAAACTGCATACAAGAATGCAATTGCATCTATTAGTATTAAACATGGTAAAAGATACCACATAAATTGATGACATGGACCTTTGAATGGCAATGAGGATTAATGAGACTAAACACCTTCAGAATGGTATTTGTTAATGTTGTCAATGACTAGACACTTATTGATTAGACAATGTTAAAGGACCTACTCAATTAAAAATTTAAGTCGATTATAGAAGTTTAAGATTGGTTTTTATACTCTATCATGTCCCCTCACATGATTGAAAACCCTTTGAACTTGAAATGTGGATGTATGGGGGTGGATGAGATTTGAACTCGTGACCTTTGTGTGACGTTGACACTAATACCATGTTAATAGACAAATTCAATCCAAAGGGTTAAGCTGATAGTTGAAGCCTGGATGAGTTTTTATACACTTTAAGACAATTAGCTTACTGACTAGTTAGAGATATATAAATGCTTACTTCCAAGGTCGTTGGCTGCATCATTTATTGTTCCTTTGAGATACGGCTCCAGATCTTCCATGGACAAATTGAACCTTTTCTTCCTCGCTTGTTTAGTAACTTTGCATTCGACAACTTCAATTATTCCAAGATTTATTGAATTGTGTTCTTGATCAATAAAAATATTTGAAGGGATTTCCTCTGGTTGTATCATGTCTACTTTAGTGTTCTCTTTCCCTGTCATTGTACTCGGTAAGAATGTAAAATCATCTCTGTTACCCTCACCGTTGATGAGCTTTGTACGATAACTAACTCTCTCCGTTTCTGCCTCGAACTCTTCATACGTAGGCGAAACCAGGTTTAATTTATCAAATTGTTGTTTCATTGAGGCTGTAATATCCATGACCTTTCGATCATCATCTTCTATCGTATTTTTCAAGGTTCTTTGCCAAAAGAATTGCACGATATAGACATCGTTGCTCGCGTATGCACTCCCTAAGCAAATAGCCAAGGAGCAATTAATCTTAAATTTACGTGACAAAGGCACCAAGGCGAAGTTGTCAGGAAACCGGGTGATATCTCTACAAAAACACAATCCTTTTGATGAAAATGTCGTGCCTGCAACCGCCTGTCCTTCAGACATGTGATACATGGCGCCTGCTCTCCAAAAGGGATAATAGGAAGAGTCTATCATGTAAAAAGGCAACTCTGCATTCGACATGCAAAGTTGCTGCGAATTGCAGCTTCGACCAGGACATGTACAAGGCATCCAAGTCTGTGCTAGAGGTAAATCATGATCTTTGCATACTTTGGTCATCACTTTCAAGATCTCTGCTAGCAATCTTTGCCGAGGTTGGTAGTGAAACTGTAAATGAAACTTATATATTGAGCAATACGATAGGTAAATATTAGCTCAAAAGACCATTTTTTTATTAGCTTGTTTTATGTAAATGACACAAGTTCAAAAGGAGAGTGTTACCTGTGTGTCTGCGCGAAGGTTTATTGCCTGTAAAACATTAAACTTTATCAATTTGACCATATTGGTAAGATAATTTTTACAAGTATTCAGCCTAATTATTGTTTTGATGAAAACAATTTGACATATTCCATCATATTTAGTTGCGGATGTAAGAGTTTTGCATTGTCACATTATCACCTTATCATTTAGACTTTTAGTAGAACACTTAAAATGTCAGCATACAAATTGTTCCCTTCTTTTTAGACATGCAGCTACTAAATATTTTGCACAACAATTTTATTTCATCGTGTCCTCAAACATTATCCAATTTTAGCTAATCTTATACATACCTTTGTAACATTTATCTCACAATAGTAGATTAGTAGATCAAAACAAAAATCTAAAGAAATAGGGTAGCTAATGGATTTGGAACATCTCTCTTCAACATTATAATGGTTTTGTCTTATTTTACTTGCCCCATTTTAGCTAGAAAGTTCTAACTGAAATTGGTCAAACACAGCAAGTAAAATGAGACAGCAGGGTACAGATCGATTTAGAAATAATAGAAGAGAACTTAGGATACACATAAAAGAAATGAGTCTAACCTTTAGATGATTGCAGATTATATCAACGACAACAAGGTCAATTTCGGTAGATGCAATAACAAGTTCATAAACACCAACACATTGATTGGTATAAGGATAAAACACAGGTATTGCCAAAGTTCCACAAATGAAATAGTTTTCCATGGTGATACTTGGTTTCGGGCCATTTCGATGATGAGACTTGTATACATGCAAGTTAGGCGCCCATTGAGGGCGCCTAAGCTGAAAGGCAGAGACCGAAACTTGCCTATTTAGGAGGTAAGTCACCTCTTTCGTAGTAGACAAGTACGGGATAAGGGTGTCAATGATGCTAAACGAGCTACTGGTTTTAGTCTCTCTGTCACAGGAATAAACTCGGGTTAACGATTCACACAAGTATCCCTCAGTCACATCTAGCATGAACCGTTTATCATCGGTCCATGAACCAGGTATATTGTGCTGTGAAGATCTTAGAACATTTGTCTTAACAATTTGTGTTGGAAACCATAATTGAGCAGCTACAATTTGATTAGTCTTTAATTGTGGTTTGAAATCCAAAAGTGTTTTCTCCAAGTTCTGTTCAGCAAGAAGCTTAACTGCAAGATTATTATATAAAATGAAAATAAGAATAACAGCACAACAATAGCAGAACTTCTAATGTAAACTGATCATGTTAATTTTTGCACATTAGAAGGTAGGTACAGCTAAAGACTTGTGGCTCATTTGCTTGTTTGGAACTCTGAAAACCAAGGAAAATATATACCATTTTAAAAAATTAATAAAATAATATTGAACATAGAAATTATATGTACAGAAGGGAAGTAAAAATGTAAATACAAAAACAAATACATAGGCCGTGTTTGGTAAAGAGAGAATTGATTGAATTTTAGTGATTTGGGAGCAATTGGGTGGTATGACAACTGAAATCGATCAGTAATATTCTGTGCTTGAAAAATTGATGATTTAAAAGGTTTATTGAAGTTCAATAATCAAGGTAATGCTCGTATTTAACAACTTCTTTTAAACCTGCTTTTTGTAAGAGTTCTTTCATCAATAGCATCTAAGGTAACCAGCTAGTCTCCCCTCAAAAAAAAAAAAAAAAAAAAAATGTAACCAGTTAGTCAGTTAGCTAATAAAATCAGCTTTATCAACCAGATACCAAACTAAGTAAAAAACAGGATATAATAAACTTATTTAACAATAAATTGGTTAGTAAGACTATTTACCAAATGGTTAAATATTTTATTTAAAGCACAATGCTATAAAAATATACAAGTATAATTTTTCATTATGCTACCTGAAGCTGAAGAACTAGTGAAGTAGTGATACTTCATTGAAGTTTATTAAATATTTAAGTTGGCAGCTGTTTGTGTTCCATATCCTAGAAGGTTTTCATACATATAAGTATATGATTTATTATTGTATTGCTACAGTGTAGGAATTTCATACTGATCAGCCTTGAAATTTTTTTTTTTTTTGGGCACTAGAGCAATTACTATATGGAAATCACTTACCTGTCTTTTTACTCCCTTCGTCCCAAATAACTGACATAATGTTCGTTATTTTCCTAATAATTATCATTATTCTATCACCTTATATTTTCGTCATTTAAAGGTCGTTTAGTTCAATAAGTTCACTAAGTTGAACTATAAAGTTATTAATACAGAATCTCATACCATACAGGTATGAATACTATAGATATAATATCCCATACCAATTTAGAATTATTTGATGAATTAGGGTCGTTTTTGACATGAGTGGAATAGATTAGGAAACCTATGGAATCATATGGTGAGAGATAGATTTGAGAGTTTAGGGGCGGGGTGGGGTGAAGTTAGATAGCAAACAAAAGGTTATATTAAAGCCAAAGATGTGATGATATGTCTAGTTTGGTTTAGTTGGAGAGGTTTGTTAACATTATTTAACCAGAAATTCCGAAATATTTGTGTTCAACACCGTTCAACAGTCCTTTTACCTTACACTATTCACCTTAATTTAATTTATTAGATTAAACCTGTGCGATACATGGATTTATTGAAATGAAATAGCTTATTTCTATTATTATTTTTCCGTAAATACTTATAAATTAGATCATTAAAACATATTTATCATCATTAAAACATGAGCTGTAACAAAATATAAAAATGAATGTCAATCTAATCTAATCAAACCATATGCATACGAATTTATACACTCTACCTAAGAATTCAACATACAAAATAAAAATACTTATAATTTAAAGATCCTTATTGAATGACCAACTCAACTAAAAGCTGAAGCTAATGGTTAAGGCCTAGGATTATGTTATTAAACTCTATCAATCTTAATTTAAATAAATAGAAACACCTTGGAAATACCGACAACATTAGTTCATTTTTGTATAACAAACATTCATGTTAATAGTACATGACTTCATAGCTAGGATGCTTGCACAATTCTTAGTAAAAAACACACACACGCACACAAATAACATTAAAACCTTTAAAAAAAAAAAAACCACATAGTTACCAGTTACCTAAAAAGTTTAAGTTCAATATCAATTTTTTATCAACCAAAAAAAATATATATTTATTTATTTACTGACGCAGTTAAAAGATTGAAATGAAAAAGAATTAAAAAAATAACAAATTCCTAAAAAAAAAAAAAACAAAAAACTACATGGCATCATAAGTGCATTTGGCGGGAAATTTTTTTATGAGAGAGCGACACATATACAGTTTGAGGAGAGGATGATGTCAGCAATTTTCTGTTTTATTAATAGTTAATAGATTTTGTATTTAAGAAAATTAAGGGTCGGAGAAGGGTCATAACTTTATTTAGATACGAGAACATAAGTACTTTAAGGCTATCTAATTCAATTTACGATTCGTCAAAAAAAAAATATTCAATATACAATTAAAAAGAATTTTGATAGATTAAGCTCAAATAAGCTCACTTATTTTTACATAAATAAAATTCAAGTGAACGAATATAGCACTCTTAGCCGCTTATTCGAGTGCACACATCCTAATTTGAAACCTTCATACTCCTCTTTTTTTTTTTTTTAATAAAACTACAATTGCTATTTTTGTCCATTTTCTTTTAAAAGCGACACTTCCTCTTTTGAAAATCTTTTCAATCAATAATATCGATAACTAATACTAAACTAGCAATCGCTGACATCATCGATAATAACTATATACTAAAGGCGAAACCTAGAATGACACTTGTCATTTCCTAGTTAAAAATTTTCCCGCCTTCTTTTTTCTTTCCTCCTTTTTTTTTTTTTTTTTTTTTTTTGTTGTCATATTTTAATGACATTCATTTTATAACCAACGATAATAGTTATTTCCATTTTGACAACATATTTAATCCAATTATACTCAATTTTCTTTTTACATATATTTTATATACTAGGAAACTTTTAGTTACAAAAATACTAACATAGATTAAAAATAAGGTATTGTAATATATTATTTTCCAAGATTATTATAATATTATCAATATCAATTTTTTTGTCCAACTTTTATCATTTGCCAATAAAATTTATTTTAATTAAAAAAAAAATAGCGTTTATAAGAACAAAATCATTTCATTATAGTATACATAACATATATTGAAAAATTTAATCTAATTACTTTAAATATTAATGTGATTATTTAAAAATAAAAACCTCTACTACTGACTAAAAATATATTTAAAAATTCTATTAAGGAATACTAATCATTCTAAAGTAAAATAAAATCAACTAAATTTTCACATTATGCAGGTCAAAGTGTGTCAACAATTTAAGGATAAATGTATATGAGTTCGTATATGGGTACTAACCTAAGCTAATATTTTAATTTTCTTATATTAAATCTTATAGCTTCTAATTTTCATTATTATATTTTTTTTGTATACAATCCAATTCAATAACCTTTACGTATTTGGTATTGATATAAACTAAAATTCAAGTTATTTTGTTACAAATAATTTTTATTAGATAAATAATTATTGAATTAACACCATTATTTATAATTTATTTGTTGTAAAATTTAATTATAACCGTGTATGGCACAAGACTTAACCTAGTTCTATTTTAAAATTAGACACATGTCTAGTTGTCATTTAAAATTTTCCCTCCAAAACTATAAATGATGTTATTGTTTTGTGAAGTTTATTTTATTTTATTAAAATTTTAGTCAGCTACATTATTATAAGTATCAAACAAGGTCTCACATGACTATATTTTTGGTTAACTATAAACCATCAAAGCTAGTCAAAGTGAAACACATGAAATGTAAAAGTTAAACTGTTGCAACAAAAAAAAAAAAAAAAAAAAAAACAAAACGGTGAAAATATAATTTTCAAAGCAATGTTAAATAGGGTAGCTAGCTCAAAAAGGTAAAAATATATATATATATATATATATATATATATATATATATATATATATATATATATATATATATATATATATATGACATCATCATTGCATTTTGGCAGGAAAAAAATTAAATAAGAAAGGGTCACGTAGATAGTGTTGACATCAGCGGTTGTTATTTTAGTAAAATTTATAGATTTTGAAATAAAAATCAGTCTATTCTCTTTAACAATAATAATTTAAGTTTTCTTCCTTAGGTACACTTTTCATCATATATTTTTCCTATGAGCTCTATTTTATTTATTTATTTGATGTTTTATTTTTTTTGGGAAATTTTTTTGTTATTAATTTTGGTATGAAAAAATAAATAAATATAGAAAATTTTATTATTTGTACATTGCACGAGACTAATCTAGTCTATTAACTAATACTAAAACAAAATGTTGCTGACATCATCACTATTCACATGTCACTCTCATAATAAATTTATTCCCGCCTAATTATAAGGATGATGTCATTTTTTTTTTGAGCTACCATATTTAACAATTTTGAAATTTGAATATTAGAAACTTCTACATTACAACTACAATCTATTAATTTATCTTTAAAATGAAACAATTGTATATAGCACACTAATAAATGGACTCTTACATTGAAATATATATTAGGCGACGTTGAACATGCATTTAATCATAATTTTGATGAAAATATAAAACTATTAAATTACAAATATTTTTGTACAAGGTGTATAATTCTTATTTATATTTATCCATTATTTTTAAATGTACAAATTATAAAAATAGATTCTATATAAACCGTGTATCGCATGGGTTCTAACCTAGTTATAATATTAAAATAAACTCAAGGATGATAAGTGTCACTTCCTGGTATTGTTTTTTCCCTCCAAAACTCCCCTCCCTTTTTAGTCAAAATATTTTATTTTTGGAATATTTTTTTAATACAACTATAATAATATATTATACCTAACTTATATACTCTCTCCGTTTCTATTTGTTAGTCCCATATACTATTTTGGGTATTTCAAAAAGATCTATACATATTAAATTTTTTCATTTTTAAATTAGTTTTATATCCTATTTTATACATATTAAATTCTTTTTTGATAAATTAATTGATTGTGGATTGATGACGTGACTCTAAATTTGGAAATCTTAAACTATGCAATTATGACTTATGCTTTCCCAAAAAAAAAAAATCAAATAATTTAAATAAGGCAAAACTAATTATGAA